AGCAATCAACGTTTCGGGTACACCCTTCTTCAGGACCGGATGTGGGGGTAGGGAGAGCTGCAGATAAGCAGGGGGGGGGGTGGGGGGGGGGGATGGTGATGTAGCAGAATGGTGGTGAAAGGTGGACACTGGCAGTAGGTATGAACTGGTTGATTCATCATCTGCAGTTTTTTTGTCTCTAAGCACTTTCAGAAAGCAGCTGTACGAAAGAGATTGTACTGTGTTGGCTAAGCTTATTCCAACTTATTTGATCCACACTCTCCCTGTCAAATCCAACCCTCGATCCTGCCAGGAAAGAAAGCACTTAGATGTTCGTAATGTCACCTTTTTCAAATACACTGAAACTAATTTACTGAGAAAATATTAAGGATGCAGTTCTTTGGGACTCTGAGGTTACCATGTAGCCTGCTGGTCACAGCTAATAACTGCATGATTACCTGATAACATGGGAAATTACCATGATTACTGTTCATATTCGTGATTAGGCTCATTACACTATCATGAATCTTTCAGACCAGGAAGCCATTCAGCCCTCATTCCTGTGCCAGGGTGGCAGTACAGATGGAGTGCTGCCCGGTCAGTACTGAGACTGCAAGCTTGGGGAGTCCACACTGACAGCAATGCACTGTTTTCGGAGACACGATTCAGGGAAAGCTGTAATGTTGACAGCGTCACTGTCAGACGAGATGATAAACCAACGCTCTGCCTGCCCTTTCAGTGTGCGGTCACTGTTGTCATGTTGGGAAACATAACGTACTATTTGTCAGAGTAAAATCTCTCAAATAACATTATGATAAATGGGCACTTTAAGAAAACAACTATGCGAGGATGATGAATCTGTCTCAGTCGAGAGTTTTCGCCCTCACCTGATCTGTGCTCTTTATTGACATTTCTGACATTGACAGAGTCTGGAAAGAAATCACCAAAACACTGTTACAAATTACAATGGAATTAATTTCCTGAGAAAATGCTAAGGATGCAGTAATTTGGGACTTTATCAGGTTACCAGTTAGTACCTGCATACTTTCCCATTAACACAGGAAATTACCATGATTACTGTTCACATTTATAATAATGTTAATTACACAATCATAAAACTTACAACCCAAGGAGCCATTCAGCACTCACCCCTGTACCATAGGGGCAGTGAAGAGGGAGTGCTACACTGTCCGAGCGCAGCAAAGAGCAAGTGCTACTGTATCAGGTGGCCACCATAGAACAAGTGTTACACCATCAGGGAGGACTGTATACAGCAACTGCTGCAACGGGTAGGACACTGTAGACAGGGAGTGCTGCGCAATTAGGCAGGCTACAGAGGATGTACTGCACTGTCAGGGAAGAATGCACATAGCCTGTGTTGCATTGTCAGGAGTTCAGTATTGAGACAATAATCTCAGGGAGTCTGAAGTGACAACATTACTGTTTTCAGAGACACAATTAAGTGAGAGTAGCAATGTTGATGGTGTCACTGTCAGATGAGATGTTAAACCAAGTCTCTGTCTGCCCTCTTTCAGTATGCAGTCACTATTGTCACGTGGTCAATACAATGTTCAATTTTTGCTGAGAAAGATCTCTCAAATAACATTGTGCTGAATGAGCACTTTCACAAAACATCTACGTGAGGCCGATGAATCTGCCTTGGTAAAAGCCTATTTGTCCTCACCGGATCTGTAATCTTCAACAAAATTCCTGATTTTGAGCCAATCTGGAAACAAATCACAAAAACATTTGGATGCTAGCAATGTCACTGTTGTCAAATACACCAGAATTAATTTACAGAGAAAATGCTAAAGATGTAGTATTCAAGACCCCGTGAGTTACCATGTTACCTGCTAGTCACAGCTAAAAATTGCATGGTTACCTGTTAACCTGGGAAATTACCATTATCACTGCTCACATTCTTAATTGAACTAGTTTCACAATCGTGAATCTAACAACCAAAGAAGCTATTCGGCCCTTATTCCTGTACTACAGAGACAGTACAGAGGGAGTACTGTACCTGTAGGGGTGTAGTACAGAGGGAGTGCTGCACTGTCAGGAAGACCGTACAGAGTGAATGCTGCACCATCAGAGGGCAAGAACTGAGATAGCAAACTCAGCGAATTTGTACTGACAGCATTACACTGTTTTCAGAGATACAATTAAGTGTGAGCTGCAACGTTGACAGCGTCACTATCAGACAAGATGTTAAACCAAGGCCTTGTCTGCTCTTTTTTCAGTGTGCAGTCACTGTTGTCACGTGGTCAACATAATGTCCAATTTCTGCAGAGAAAGATCTCTCAAATAACTGTGTGATGAGTGAGCACTTTCAGAAAACAGCAATGTCAGGCTGACAGATCTGTCTTTGTAACAACCTGCTCTGTATTCTTCATCAAAAGTCCTGACATCGACCCAGTCTGGAAAGTAATCAACAAAACATTTGGATGTTAGCAGTGTCACTGTCACCAAATACACTGGAATTAATTTGCTGAGAAAATGCTAAGGATGCAGTAGGTTACCATATAGCCTAC